AATTTAGATGTGCCCGTACAAAATCACAAGCTATAGTTGTAAATGTGCTGGCACCTATGGCGATGGACGAATTGAAAGAACACCTTCACGAAGCCCACTGCATATCTTTATTAACCGATGCTTCCAGCCAGGCGAATCATCTGATATAATTGTGGATTATTTGAAAGAAGTATTATCTTGCAATGATTTGAATAAGAAAATTGTGGCATTTTGTGCAGACAATACAAACTGCAATTTCGGAGGAAAGAATAGAAAAGGGATAAATAATGTTTACGCGAAATTGAACCTATCCGTCGGAAGGCAGCTCATTGGGATTGGGTGTGGAGCCCATATAATTCATAATGCTATCAAAACAGCCGCAGATTGTCTCCCTGTTGACTTCGAATGCATCATTGTGAAAATTTATTCATTCTTCTACATCTACAGCATTCGGGTAGAAGTTCTGAAAGAGTTCTGTGATTCCACCGACACAGAGTATCAGAAACTGTTGGGCTACAGTAAAACAAGGTGGCTTGCTTTAATGCCGGTGCTTGAGAGAAAATTAAAAATGTTTCAGCCTTTGAAAACCTATTTTCTGAGCATAGATAAATGCGCTACTATTTTAAAAACGTTTTTCGAAAATCCCAGCTCAGAATTGTGGTTATATTTTTTGCATGCACAGACAGCGATTTTTCATCAAGCCGTGTTGAAAATCGAGGGACAAAACGTGTCCGCAATAGAGTCTGCGAATGAAATTAATCGTCTCCGAGATAACTTAGAACTTAAAGAGAATTCGATTTTCCTTCCTCATTCCGTCCGCAATCTACTGGTAAAATTACAAAAAACTGACGTTGCTGTTGATGAGCAGAATGTGAAAACTGCGGCAGCGGATTTTATAAGACAAGTAAAGAATACTTGGAACAGTGGTGCCAGTTCAATGCACAACTAACAGTATTTGAATGGTCAAATTTGAGAAAAGTCCCTACTTGGGAAGACGTACAGAATGTGACGGATTTGCTGATCACACAAAGATTTCTTAGCAGTAGCCAAGATACGGAGGTGTTCGATGAGTTTTCGCTTATTTCCAGTTACGCCACAGTTGAAAAAATCAAAAGCTGGAACGATGAGAATGTTGCTACTGAAGACCGTTGGGTGGAGCTGTTTAAACACTTCCGTGCTAATAATCTCAACTGCACAAACTTTCGCACAATTATTGAGTATGTTTTATGTATGCCTGGAAGTAACGCACCTGTCGAAAGAGTTTTTTCCCTAATGAATAAAATATGGACAAGTGAAAAAACGCAGTTAAGTGTGACAGTTTTAAAAGCTATTTTAATTACTAAGACTAACATCAACAAACAATGTAATCAGCTCCATTCCTACTTGAAAACTAGACCCGATATTTTAAAACTAATTTGCTCTGCTGACAAATATAAAACAAATACTTAGACATAAGAATAATTTCGTAAATTAGATTTATACGTATTCTCTCCGTTTTTGAATAAAATTTGTTTTTAAATGCATAATTTTTTTTTTTACAAAATTCCACAGTCGTCCCGCTCTGACGAAAAATATAAATGGTCACATTACCAAATACTCAATTGTCCTTAAGGTGAGAATACATAGAACGCTTTTTTGACTGACTTAAGTCAACGGTTGACTTAGTTCAATTTTGGCAATATGCTCGTTATTCTTTTCCGATGAAGCCAGTCGATGACTTAAGCCGGTCAGAAAACGTCGACAAACAACAAATCGGATGAAACATATATATGGGAGCTATAGCTATATCTGAACCAATTTTGATATACTTGCTTCTAGACTGAATTCGTCCTTGGGCGACAATTTTGTTACCAAGAATGCATGGACAGACGGACTGACGTGCAAAAATCGACTCAGAATGTGATTCTATAAAGATCCTTAAAAGTAACTATCGGACTATCTCCCTTCCTTTTCTATGTCACAAATAAAGACATAATACCTTTACCTCTATGTGGTGTAGGGTATAAAAATGGTACAATGAAGACAAGGTAATGTCAGAATTAGTATCAACAAATTGTTAGATAAACAAAAAAACTTGTGATTTTGAATAATTAACAAAAGCGCGAAAATTGATTGTATGGTCAATATTTTGATATCAAAATCATGTTCTATATATCTAAGATTTATTTCGCAACAGAAAGTGTAAATTTTGTCCATACATATGTCGTAATAATCATTTTAATTACAACTAAATTTGAATATTTTCTAAAAAAATCATATATAGTCTATTCCAGAACTGATATCGGAAAAAATTGCAAAACCAGTAGATTATTGCAGGTTTTAGAACAGGGCAATAATTGTTAAGCACGCACAACTAAGTTGACATTTTACGCCAAGGAAATAAAAAAAATTGATCGATTGGTAGCAGCCAGTAGAAGAATACAGGATGTCGCATCGACACAGCTGCTCGGACAATGAACTGTCAAACCAATTTTGAAATTGAAATTTTAAACATTTAAATTGTTAAAAAATGCATATCGTAACAAATTCCGATTGGCGTCGTATGAAAAAACACATAAAAATCTACTTATTTTTAAAAAGAAACATTTTAAAGTTTTTTCCAAATCAATGTTCCCAAGCGTAAATGCATTTACCAGTATTTTTCTACCATGGTAACAGTGCCCTACATTGATTCCACTGTGCCAATGGCTGGAAACTATTTTTTTCTTGGGAGACGGACCCGGTACCCGGTACAGGTAGATGCATCAACGCTTGGGAATATTGATATGTCAAAAAATTTAAATGTTTTTTCAAACTTAAGTAGGCTTTTATGTGTTTTCTTATACGACGTCATTCGGAGATTATTATCATACCCGTTTTTCATTCAACATTTTCAATTCCAAAATTGATTTGACAGATTCAAGAAGCTGTGTCGATGCGTCTACCTATATTATTCTACCATGCGTATTGGGGTAATATGGCCGTATCATGGTAGAAGAATACAGGTAGTCGCATCGACACAGGTGCTGGGACAATGAACTGTCAAACCAATTTTGGAATTGAAAACGTTGAATGAAAAATTATTAAAATTTGTAAAAATTGTTGAAAAATTCATACTATAACAATCTCTGATTCGCGCCGTATAAAAAAACATTTAAAAATCCACTTATTTTTCATAAAATATTTTAAAATTTTTGACATATCAATGTTCCCAATCGTTGATGCATCTACCTATATTCTTCTACCATGAGCCGTACAGAGCAATAGTGGGGAAGTAGACGTTTTTGATACGCCACGTCGAAGTTTAGGTAGAGCTGAAATGTTAATTTTAAAAACCCTGTCGTCAATTCAGTTAACTTGAAATTAAATGAAAGGTATTCCTTAAGTAGAGGTGGTTGACACTTGTATTATTTTTACATACAATTAACCATGGTGCAATGACATAAAGGTAACGTCATTTCAAATTATCATTCCCAGCTCTGCATTCTCTGCATTTCAAATTTCAATGCAAAAAAAAAAAAAACAGTTCCCATCTCTGATTTTGTGTTCATACAATGGATCATGATAGAAGAAAATAGGTAGACGCATCGACACAGCTGCTGGGACAATGAACTGTCAAACCAATTTTGGAATTAAAAATGTTGAATGAAAAATAATTTAAATTTGTAAAAATTGTTGAAAAACGCGTATTATAATAACCTCCGAGTGACGTCGTATAAGAAAACATATAAAAATCTACTTATATTTGAAAACACATTTAAATTTTTTTGACATATTAATGTTTCTAAGCGTTGATGCATCTACCTGTATTCTTCTACCATGCAATGGATTTATGAATATAGATTTTTACAATGAGATGTTGTAAAATGTATATATATGAAACAATTGTAAACATATGATTACATGACTTTACCTTCTTAGTTCTACCATGACAATTAACGAACTATTTTAACATTGTGATGTACTAGAAAGTAGTTAAGTGACCGACTCTGCATTTTTTAACCAATTGTAAACTAGTTCCTTTTATCCGATTTATAGTCAGTTATTTTTAACTAACTATAAACCAATTGCTTTAAACCCGTTTTAAAGTCATTTAAAAAGCACTGTTTTTCTGAGAAAAATGTTTAATGATTTTGATTTTTTTGTATAGGAAGACGTAATTTTTTACAACCAAATTCCTCAATTTTTTATTTGAAGGAAGAGTGCCATTTATAGGCACCTTGGCTGATTTTTTTTTGTTATGTTAAACCCATTGTAGAATTAAGAAGGTAAAGTCATGCATCAGATGTTTACAATTTCTTCAAAATTGTTCATTTGACAACATCTCATTGTCAAAATTTATATTTATAAATCCATTGTATACACAGAGATGGAAACCTCTTTTTTATTCAATGAGAAAGTTAATTACAGAAAATGCAGAGATGGATATGCTTATTTGAAATGACTTTACCTTCTTAATTTTACCATGGTCAAGCAATGGCAGAAAATGTTAAGGCCCTAGCTTGTATTATTCTATGTTGCATTTATATAGAAAAATTTTTGAAAACGTAATATGCCATTTCAAATTAGTTGACTTCTAGATGATTTCCCAATCATCCTATAGTTAGTCCATAAATGCATTATTCTACAACTAAAAATTTGTTGGAAAGTTATCTGGAGATCAAACAGTTGTGGCCACTTCCACAACTGCATATGATTTTCCAATCAATTTGTAGTTAGTTGTAGACTCATGCAGTTATAACTAACGATTTTTTCAACCGTTTATGAAAAAACTATCGAATGCAAAACGTTGGTTGTCAGATGTTTTATTTAAATGATAGTAAATTCCCATAAATAGGTGTTAACCCGGAAACATATGCGAATACCGTACGACATCGCTATAGAGTTAGTACCGATCCTGTAAGTTGTCATAGATTAGAATATGGATTTTCTTCCGCTAATAAAATCTAACATAAAAAATAAATATTTTATATTTTAAACTAAAAACACATTAAAAATAGCAACAGTGTGTTGAAAGATGAAAAAAAAAAAAACAAATAATATTCGATAGCTTAAATTTTATTTAACAGAAAAAAATCAGGTTAGTATTGAATCACAATGTTTGATTCGAAGCAAATTTCTAGGCACAACTCCGATTGTTTTATGATCTTGATGTTTATAAGTTTCTTTAGCTTATGTATTTCCGTGCTGAAGAAAGGTTAGTGAATTTTTTTGTTGCATATGCACGTCACTTATATATTTTTTAGTTGGTGTTTCAGATTAAAATCTTATTCTGTCTTTTTCAATCCTGCCAGCTTTTCTTAAAAATCTAAGGGTTATCTTTTGAATACATTTTAAAAGTAGCAAAAATAAATTCATTTTATTTTTTATTTATAATTGGTAAAGTATCCAAAATTTCGGTACTTGCAAAATGACTACCTTCGCAAATGTAATATTTTTTTATAAATAAAATTTGGATACTTCATTCCTTTAAATTATCCTATAATATATATAAATTTCTTTAACGAAAATATAATTTAAAAATACATTTTTCTTGTAAACAAATGGCAAATGATCCGTAATCAACTTGAAAGAAGCACTTAACAAACACTTGTTGTATATTACATGAAATGGCTCTATTCGAGATGAGCACGCATTCTTTTCGTTAATCCATTTAAGAAGGTTGATGATGAAGGTTCATCAGATGCATGTTTACGCATACGTTCTGGTAAGGGGGGCAAGCGATTAACATAACGTTGCGGTATGCCAGCATTTAATAAAGTAGCACGGTCGAATTTATGCAAATTACGGTTGTAGTATGTAATAGCATCCCAACAAATATCACTAAGCTTAGGAATTGTCATCCACATTTTAAAAAGATGATTCCGGCGTCGCATGTCCCTCTGGACTTCGTTGTATTCGATTCCGCCAAAAATGTACATGCAACCGTTTCCTGCATGCGCTGCTGAATGAAAATATAAGGGCCTTGGTAGTACAGCTGTATGTATTTTATACCATTGTTTAGTTCGAAGATTCAGCTTCCAAATATCGTCGAAGTATGTGTTAAAATCTCCCTAAAGTTAAAAGGCATTAAGTCTCAATACTATATAATCTCAGCATGAATACTTACTTGCAGACCTCCTGTTATGAAAGCTTCGATATCACCATTGCTTGTAGTGTGTTGCACGCATGAAAGACATTTACGAGCTTTTGGATAGCCTAAATCTTGGTTTATTGCTACTGTTCGATCGGGTAGCGTATCAAAATGATCCCAACGATTGGTTTCCAAGTTAAAGGCTGGTATACGTTGCAGATCGTAAACCGTATGTGATGTACCTCCCCCCAAAACATATATGTGGTGTCCATCATACACCACTTCATGTCTGTAACGTCCCTCGGGATCATCTCTCATTTCTGGTCTACATATATACACGTTTTCCCAAACTTTTGTTTGAAGGTTCAATCGATATACATCACAGGAATAATCGAACCCCGTCGTTCCGCCTATTGTATAAAGGTAATCATTATGTATCACAATACCAGGTCCATATTGGGCTGTTGGCAAGTCACCAGTGACTTTGAGAAGCATTACTTTTGGATTTTCTCCAGTTGTATAGACATAACAATCATTGGAACATGTTTCTCCAAATGGGTACCCAGTACCGCCATGCGACTGGAATAATAAAAATAGAAAAGAATGAACAAAATATACCTAAGTTTAATTGAATCTAATCCCGAGTAAAAATGTGGATAAAACTTAAAAAAAGACTACCTACAATTATTCGATAACATTTCGTAAAGATTCTCAAAAAAATCGAACTTCCGACGGGTCTAAATAAATTTTGAATACTTGTCGTGCTTTTTCCTACGAAATTACAATTTACATCATTTCTACAGAGAAGCAACGATTTTGTCTATAGTTATTTAAATAGTCCTAATGACTGTGGAAAATTCAACGTCAATAAAAAACAGTTTTCAAATAATAGTGATGGATAAAAAGGACATCAATCTACCTCTTAAAAAATCAAATACCTCTCTTGAAAAATCTAATATCAAATTTGGCTGTCAGTAGAGAAGGAAGTGGAATATTGAAAAACTCGCAAGGTAAGGACTCTAAAAAAGTTAAAATAAACTATTTAAGTCGTAGAACCTTTAGTACGCAACAACTTTTAAACAATTTAATTATTATTGCTTACAATTATAATTTTTTTCGCCAAAATTCACAGTTTTTCGCTCAGACATTATTAATTTATAACCTTATTCCTGAGATATGTTTGCATTCAACAATTCTAAACTTGCAAACATACATAATTATAAAACCTCCGATTCATTCGAGAGAAGTGTTATTATCATATTGATAACTATAGATAACGTTGAAACAATCCATACTTGCATCGAAATGAAGTCTCCCGCCAAGATTGATTAAGTACGTTGACCTTATCAATTAAAAATCTTATATTAGAATCAACAATAGTTTATAAATACATCAGCAAAAAATAAATAGCTTATGCTCTTAAAATACATTTATCCCAACAAGCACATTTGTAGCCTATGCCAATAAGAATTTTCTAAAGTTGAAAAACTTCTAATTAGAAAAATCAATTCAGGCAATGCATCTAATGCCTGCTGTTCACTATCATGCGGTCATTAAAAAATAAAGGCGTGTTCATTGTCTTAATGAAAATAAAATAAGAACGCATTATCACAGAGATAGCAGTGTTTGAGCCTATGTACTAATACAAACAATAAAGAAGTCCATATATATGTATATATGTTAGTTGTAATTTTGCCATATTGTCCAAGTAGAATATTTTTATAACAATGCAGCAAACATATGGATAAAATACGATTGAGTATAAACAAAATAAAAGCAAAAACAAACAAGTTGTTGAGCCGATAGGAAAAAATACGACTTCAATACACGTCACACAAACCTAAACAACACCTTTATGGATACAGGAAGTTCAACAGCATAAAATATTCGTTTGTGTTCCCCTCTGCGATTACAATGGAACATATATTGGGCAGTAGTTGTGTGCGCTTATACATACAAATGGGTTTCTTTGAAAGGGTAAGTGGACGTAGAGAGTTGTTTGACGGCATGGGGTGTTTTTGTTCATTTATTACGTAGCTATGGTGCACTGAGTCACTGAGGATGAACGTTTGTATAGAATTTACGTAGCAAAACATAGAAACAAAAAGTAATATCACGAAGAGAGGTAAAAACCAAAACTTGATGTCAGCTAAATTTGGGAGTATGTAAAACACTGAAATTCTTCAATTTATTGATTAGAGAGATTGTGGATAAGAAATTATTTTTCGTACACAATTTTGTCTCATAGTACTTTGATCACGGTTAGTTTCATTGCTTAGAATGAATTATAATAGTATTATCTGTAAACTGGAAATAATTTGAAAAAAAAAAAAAAAAAAAAAACGCAAAAATACCCGCTAAAGACAAATATTTGCTACGAAAAATAAAGCATCAAATAGAAATAATTGGAAAATAAGAAAAGCAATCCGGGAGTCATTACGGTACCCGCATTTTTAAAACTAACTAATCTATGGAGCCACATTTTGTACGCATAAAGAAGAATGCCATAACTTAGTGATTGAGGGAGGGCCGAGTTTCAAACTTTACTGAAATTGGGTGTGTCCACTGAGTTAGGATATCAAATGTTATCGATTGAGCCCAAAAGTATAATATAAATCTATACAAAAAGTTCATTTCTCGTGTTCAATTTTTAACATTTTTCAAATATTATATAAAAGAATACTCACAATCAAGACATTGTTGTAAATGACCAAAGCGTTCGAAGCCAATTCTCTTGGCATTTCTGAGTTTTCAGCATTAAGGAGAAGTTTCCAACGACCTGTTGCAAAGTTGAAGGCCCACAATTCCTGAAATAGCATACACGCATCAAATCGAGTGACGTTCGGGGTTCTATTTGGATTATAGCCCCCCAGAGAGTACAAATGTGATTCAGAAGCTATGATGCGGTGGCCGCTTCGGGCAATTGGAAATTCTCCTGCATCGTGGTGCGCTTTATACTGACATGGAATTAGTCTAAGTGGTTGGAAACTGTAGGTATGTTTAACACGTTCACGGCATCGGTTTAACATTCGATGTAACCGCTGTAAAGAAACACTTTCGTGGCCGAAGTTTGAATCATCGTCACAATCAATTTCATCAGATGACCAGGAATCCTGTGGCACAAGATCTTCCAAAACATCGTAATCATCACTACTTTCATCATCATCGTCGCCGTCGTCTGCACCATCACTCTCATTATCACTATCATCTACGACATCCATTGCCACATATTCTTCCTGAGCACCAATCTCTTCCAAAGGCTCATAATCATGTCCTTGTCCTGGTTGCTGCCGTTCATGTTCATCTTCTTGGTCCATGCCGATTTTATTTCGCTCAATCACCCCTCTAAAATATGTATATGTATGACTGATGAGTGCCTTATTAATTTCTTTGAGATTATTTAACAAATTCAGCATGAAAAGAGCGACAAATTTAAGAATTTTCATAACAAAGGAATTTTTACAACAATTACTCGCACTTCTTTTCACGCAATACACCGAATCTTAAAAAAGTTGTATCGAGTTTTTAAGAAGCCAGCAACTTTTGTTTGAAATTATGGAAATAAGCCTTTTAGATTTTTAATATTTTTCTAAAACGTATTAAACATGACCAGCTGAGCACTACTACAAAGACATGTGTGGAACTGTCAGTTTGACGTTATTTATTATTACCTTTTTGTTGGCGTTTTCTTACTTCTTATATTCGTCAAAAAATTTGCCTTATTCTATATGTCGAATAGCTGGTTTGCATTTCCTCACAAAAATAACAAATTAGCCGCGTAAAATGTTTTTTCTAATTTTCAAAATATTCGGATGACTACGATTTAATGGGTCGACTTGACCTTATTACTGCGAGCACCAATTATCAATGTGTTTTGCTACGTTCTTTCTTTCCGTAAACAAAAACACGTCACTACGTCACTAGAAAGAATACGGAGCCATACGGATATGAACGCCGTCTTTGTTCAGAGATGTAGAGATCGGATAATCCATTTTTCAAAATTGTTAAGTTATGTCAGAAAATGAAAAAATTTTTGCAATTATAATTTGTTGAAGTTAACAAAGGGACGTAGGGTGAACAAGCCGAAATTGAAGAGAGTCAACCAAAAACTCCTTTGTTCTCTTACGAAGATGCCAACCGAAGACTTAAAGGTGTAAATACATTAATCGCTTTTTTGACTGGCCGATGATTTAGAAGTGTAGGGCCAAAATCGAACTAATTCAACCTAAAACTCCTTCCACTACGTTGTTGTGAACGAACTATGGTAGAAGAATACAGGTAGTTGCATCAACGTTTGGGAGCATTGATATGTCAAAAAAATTTAATTGTCAAAATTATAAAAGTAATAGTTGTTACCAATTTTAGGGTAAACAGACACACCTAATTCTGTTCTGGCTGCTTGACTCCAAATCTGGTTTTTTTCTCCATTCCAAAGTACGAAAACGCAAGGCAAAATGAATCACAAGTTGTCAAAAGTATTTTCATTGAAACGTCTTGCTTTCTGTTTAATTTTATTACTGTGCTTTGTTTCGTATGAATTGCTTTGTTTTTCCCTTAGATGTTTACAAATTCGCCACAAAAAATATAAACTGAGGCGAATTATTTATTATTCGCTTCAGAAGAAATTTTGACAGTACGTTGTTATGAAAGAACTATGGTAGAAGAATACAGGGAGTTGCATCAACGTTTGGGAGCATTGATATGTCAAAAAAATGTAAATGTTTTTCAAAAATAAGTACATTTTTATATTTTTTCCTTATACGACGTGATTCGGAGGTTATTATGACTCGCGTCTTTCAAAAATGTTGTACAAAGCTAAATAATTTTTCATTCAACATTTTCAATTCCAAAATTGGTTTGACAGTTCATTATTCCAGCAGCTGTCTTGATGCGACTACCTATATTCTTCTACCATGGAGAGAACAAGATAGGACAAATACCTCTGTTGTTATCATAACAACATAATTACAAATGTTAACTGATTTAAACCGCCAAAGCAATGTGCAAATTTTCGGGAAGGTCCATGGAATAGAATTTTGAAACCAAAATTTTGGATTTTTCAAATTTTTATTTGATATCCGTTCCTGTAATAGTGGTTTTTATATTAACATGTCTCTGCCATGAGCTGTTACTCTATGTATTGTAGACACAAACCATTTGCTCAAAATGCATTTTGTCTAGTCTTTACCATTTTAGGTCTTTGACAAAGGATTGTAGTGTGGACTAGTTTAAATTATGTGATGACACAAGCCAGTCAAAAAGCGTTTTGAGATGAGGGTACATAAGCAGCTTCGCATCATGGCTAGGCATATTAATGTCATATTATATAGGGAAACGAGGGCAAAATTCGAATGCGGCTCTGGCATCCCTTTATAATATGTCACAAAATATGCCACGTGAAGACTTCAAGCTGTTTATGTACTTACACCTTTATGTATTATCACCCATGGTACAATGAAATAAAGGTAACCTCATTTCAAATTAGCGTTCCCAGCTCTTTATTTTCGGTAATTTTGCTTGTCAAATTTAAATGCATAGAAAACAGTTCCCGTCTGATTTTTTGTGTATCATTGTATTTTTGAATATAGATTTTGACAATGAGATGTTGTTAAATGTATAAATTTGAAAAAAATTGTAAACATATGATTGCATGACTTTATCTTCTTAAGGTGGGAATAGACAAAGCGCTTATCTGGCTTCTTCGGAAATGAACAAGGGAGCCTGGACCCAACATCGAACTAAGTCAACCTAAAACTCCTTTGTTCAACTACGAAGACGCCAGCCAACTACGCGCTTTATGTATTTCCACACTAGTTCTACCATATTCTCACCTTAAACTAGTCAAAAAAGTGTTTTATGTATTCTCAACTCAACTCATCAATATATTCATATTTACTGATCAGCGAAACCCAACGAAACAGACAAAAATCTTGCATCAACGCTTGGGAGCATTGATATATCAAAAAAATTTAAATGTTTTTTCAAATATGAGTAGATTTTTAAATGTTATTTTCTCATTCGGAGGTTATTATAATTCGAGTTTTTAACAATTTTTACAAATTTAAATGACTTTTCATTCAACTTTCAATTTCAAAATTAGTTTGACAGTTCATTGTCCCAGCAGCTTTGTCGATGGGTCTGCCTATTTTCTTCTACCATGCATAAACGTCAAAAAAATGTATATGGATACTTAATTAAGGTTGACTTAGTTTGATTTTGGCCCTACGATCCTTTGTTCTTCTTTGTCCGATGAAGCCAGCCGATGACTTGAGCCAGTCCATGGCCCAATTATTAGGTCGTCCGATTAGCCCAGGTGATTTCACCCGTTCTGTCAAAATACATTTGTTTATTTGAAATTCGCCGAAAAAAATGACAAGTTGTCATCACACAATAGGCCTGTCTGGCTATTTTCCTGCAGTAATTGTCCAGCAGTTTCTTACTCAGAGTTTAATTATCTTTTGCTAGGAAAAAAGTAATGAGGTAAACACAAAAAATTATAATGAGCCATAAAACTAAACCATTGAGGTGAGAATACATAAAAGGTTTTTTGACTGGCTTAAGTCATCGGTTGGCTTTTTCGGAAAAGAACAAAGGACCATCTGGCTAATATCGAACTAAATCAACATAAAACATCTTTGTTAAAAAAGCCTTTTATCTACTCTTAGGCTTGTCATTATCAAAATATATATGTTTTAAATGTGCTTACCCAAATATAAATCACCGGAAGGAGAAGAAGAATAATAGAAAATGATTGCAAGAAGAAAAGCACTGTCAAAATTATAAAAGTAATAGTTGCTACCAATTTTAGGGTAAACAGACACACCTAATTCTGTTCTGGCTGCTTGACCGCAAATCTGATTTTTTCTCCATTCCAAAGTACGAAAACGCAAGGCAAAATGAATCACAAGTTGTCAAAAGTATTTTCATTGAAACGTCTTGCTTTCTGTTTAATTTTATTACTGTGCTTTGTTTCGTATGCATTGCTTTGTTTTTCCCTTAGATGTTTACAAATTCGCCACAAAAAATATAAACTGAGGCGAATTATTATTCGCTTCAGAAGAAATTTTAACAGTACGAAGAAGTAAAACAGCTGATTTTAAGCCAATTCGCCATTTACACGACCTAATAAATGGGCCTGAGCCAGTCAAAAAGCGTATTATTTATTTTCATCTTTAAGTCAGTAAAAAAGCGCTTTATGTACCTGCTCCTTAATTGGTTCAATTCGGAACGCTGTCTGTTAGTAATGTAAAGACAACAACGCCCCTTTAACCAGTTCGATCGACGGAAAAGTCGCAGCTATCCACCTCAATTCAACACCGAGCTTGGCTAATTATTGTCTCCAAATCCACTATGCTGCGAATTTTGACGAAAGATTTGAATCTTCATCCATAACAAGGACATTATGTTAATTGGGTATTGGAGATACAACATGGAAATGCTGATTTTACAGTTAAAATCATTTTCAGTGACGAAGCCCATTTCCATTTTGACGTCTTTGTCAATAAGCAGAATTCTCAAATTTGGGATGTCAAAAATCCTCTAGTGTTATGAAAATGAGGCAGGTTAAGTGTAAATAGTCAACCGTGATCGGTATCTTGAAATGATAACCAGTTTTCTCCTAACTAGAAATGAAATAAATTTTTAGGCATGTGTGACAAGACGACGCCACACGTAACACAGCCAAATAAATATTTCAATTGCAACATCAAGCATTTCCCGGTCGTGTTATTTTGCTTTAAGCAGCTAGAAAGTGCGATTTGAAACTTAGAGTTTTTTTAAGTCGATGGAAGAAAATTGGCCGATGAGAAAATTGTACGCTGCATTAATGAAATACAGCAGCATTTATGCAAAAAGGTCATTAAAAGAACGGGTATGTGTCTGTGTCATACTGTCTACTTGACGATATTATAAAGTTTTCACGATTTCAAATGAAATGAAAATGTCAAATGTATAAAAACGCGATTTTTATCGCAATTTTTACAAGCAACACCAAACTCGAAATGTAGCTGCCATGCTGCTTTTTGGCGCTGACCTATTTTGATGTTAGAGCTAATTTCAATTTAGTTGCATCCACTCACTGCCATTTTGTGTTAGCAGACGTTTAAAAAAATATTGAGGTGATAATACATAAAACGCTTTTTTGACTGGCTTCTGTATAGGAACCATGATAGAAGAACACAGGTAGTCGCATCGACACAGAAGCTGGTACAATGAACTGTCAAACCAATTTTGGAATTTAAATTTTTGCAGAAAAAATTATTCAAGACAAAGTCAAAATATGGCAACCCTGTGAAAATACCTCCGTTGTTACGATATCATAACAACATAGTCGCCAATGTTAACTGATTTAAACCACAAAGAAAAAAATATGCACATTTTTGGAAAGGTCTATGGAATATAACCAAAATTTTGGATTTTTCAAGTTTTTATTTGTTTTTGTTTCTGTAATTATGGTTTTATACCCTCCACCATACTATGGAGGGTATATTAACTTTGTCATTCGGTTTGTAAGTCCTCGAAATACTCATGTCAGATCCAACAATGTATATTCTTAATCAGCGTAAAATTCTAAGTCGATTTAGCGACGTTCGTCTGCCTGTCTGTTGTAATCATGCTATCTATCGAACGAATTGAGATA